ATCCATAGCCATACCTGACGAACACAAGCACCTCAGCGTTGTTCTGTCCCTCCCTCTCGTGCACACTCATGTCGTGGTAGTCTAGTTGCAGCGCGTGTGTGTCTGCCAGTCGTTCGAAGAATTGTTGTGCGTGTTTTGACATCCACTTGTTGCCGCCCCCGTAGTTCTTGATCAGCGCCAGAATGGCTTGGATGAAATGCGCGTACAGCAGGAAATCACTCTCCGTCCCTGTGGCATGCAGCAATACATTGCGTGAGACTGTGGCCATAGACAGAGTGAACCAGCCGTTTCATATACACATGTACAACACTCCGTCCCTGTGGCATGGAGCAATACATTGCGTGAGACTGTGGTCATAAACCGAGTGAAGCAGCCGTTTCATATACACATGTACAACACTCCGTCCCTGTGGCATGCAGCAATACATTGCGTGAGACTGTGGTCATAGACCGAGTGAACCAGCCGTTTCATATACACAAGTACAACACTCCGTCCCTGTGGCATGTAGCAATACATTGCACGAGACTGTGGTCATAGACCGAGTGAACCAGACGTTTCATATACACATCCACAATCGCGTATGTGGGGGGATTTTAGGGATGTAGGAGCACATTGGACAAGACTGTGGTGATGGACCGTGTGTACCAGCCGTTTCATACACACATGCACAATCGCGTATGTGGGGGGGAGGGGGGGTAGGCGTGTGCTATGCATGTGTATGAAAGTAGAATGTGTGTGTATGGCTGTCATCCATGGGTATGAAAATGATATGTTTGTTTTTGTGTGTTGTACCTGTGTGTTAATTGATGCGTGCTATACGGCCGTATATGGCGCGTCAATGAGATTAATAAGCCGACAGATTCATAGCCGCACACCTACATGCTGGTAACGGTACTCGTTGATCGAGTCGATTTAAAGCCTTTAACTACTGCTAATCGTCATTCACTAGCTTGTGAAGGCGAAGCAACGATACTATGCACTCGTGACCAACTGTGTGGTACAGGCATGTGTCTATCACCCGGACACACAAATAAGTACAATACATATATAATATATATAC